TACATCTTTAGTCCTTTTCTTCCTGTTTCACATTGCTAATTAACCCATTAGGATCTTGAGTACTATTTTAGTTTTTCACACCAGAGAAATTATTTGGTATTTACACATGTGTGACTTATTTATTTCACTTAGGAGTATATCCTCAAAGTGTACCCATTTACCTATGAATGAATCTACTTTCTCATTCTTTATGGCTGAGTAGTATTCCATTTTATAGAAAAACCACATTTTCTTTATCCAGTTTCTAACTGATGGGCAGGTGGGCTGTTTCCAAGTTTTAGGTGTTACAAACTGTGCCGCTATAAACATGGGTGCACATATATCACTGTGGTATGATTCTTTCAATTCTTTTGGAAAGATACCTAACAGAGGGATGGCTGGGTGAAATGGAACCTCTAGTCCCAGCTCTTTGAGGTATCTCCATATTGATTTCCATAGTGGTTGCACCAGTCTGCACTCCCACCAACAATGGAGAAGGGTTCCTTTTTCCCCACAACCCTGCCAACATTTGTTATTGTGTGATTTCTTGATAGCAGCCATTCTTTGGGGAGTGAGGTGAAATCTCAGTGTTGTTTTCATCTGCATCTCTTGAATGACCAGTGGTATGGAACATTTTTTCATATATTTACTTGCTGCTTTTATTTCTTTGTCTGAGAAATGTCTGTTCATTTCAGATGTCCATTCTTGAATTGGGTCTTTATATTTGGGGGGACTGGTTGTTTTGAGTTCTTTATATATTCTAGATAATAGTTCTTTGTCTGAGGAGCAGCTGGTAAAAAGTTTTTCCCATATTGTATGTTGTCTCTTAGTTCTATTGATTGTTTCTTTTGCAGTGCAGAAGCTTTTTAATAAGATGAGATCTCACTTGTTGATTCTTTCTGCTAATTCCCATGCTACTGAGGATTTGTTCATAAAGCCTTTTGTTGGCTGACAAGGATGAATCTAGATTGTTAAATGCTTTCATTTGTTTACAAGATTCATTCATTATGTATGGATTAGTAATAGCTGAAGAAAAAATACAGAGAGAATCCCCATTCTCTTATCTTGGTTATCCCTGAAAAATGCATGCACAAAAATTACAAATCAGAAAGGATAATCTAAAAACCTTAAATGATTTTCAAAAATTATTGGGAGACATAAATTGGATCCATCCTTATTTAAAATTAGCCACTGGAGGGACGAAACCTTTGTTTGATATTTTACAGGGAAATCCTGATCCTTCTTCCAGTAGAAAATTAACTTTTGAAGGACAATTGGCCTTAAAAAGGGTAGAATTAGCTATCTCTAGTCAACATGTGCTTTACTTTGATTATCAAAAGGAATGGAGTGCATATGTTTTTGTAATCTCTCCTACCTCTACTGTGGTGTTATGGCAGGATGAGCCTTTATTATGGACCCATCTTCCAGTCTCTCCTTTAAAGGTTTTACAACCTTATTATGACGTTGTTACTCATCTTATACAATTAATAAGATGCAGTACAAGAAGGTATTTTGGTATTGAGCCCACTGAGATTGTTGTCCCCTTTTCAAAATTCCAAATTAATTGACTATTTCAAAATTGTGACTCTTGGGCCACTGCTTTTGCCCATTTCAGGGGAAGTATCGATAACTACTACCCAAATAATAAGTTGCTGCAATTTGCCATTCTTCATTCCTTTATTTTCCCAAAGACAATTTTATCAACAACCATTGCTACAGCAATTACAATTTTTACAGATGATCTTCTAATGGGATTGCTGCATATGTGATAATCAAAAAAGGTCTTTTGTTACCCCTGTGGCTTCAGCTCAGATTGTAGAATTAAGAGCAATTTTAATTGTTTTTCAGAATTTTTCACGCATAGCTTTCAATCTTTATACAGATAGTCAATATCTGGCTAGAGCACTCCCCTTGTTAGAAACAGTGGCATTCATTTCTACAAGTAATTTGGAAATTCAACACCTTTTGGCCCAAGTACAGAAATTCATACATATATGTTCCTTTCCCTGCTTTATTGGTCATATTAGAGCACATAACTCTTTACCCTGCCCCCTATCCCTGGGTAATCATCTGGCTGATCTATCGACAAAAACTGTTGCATTTTCACAAATTGAGTTGGCACAGCAATCTCATCAGATACATCACCAAAATAGCCACACTCTCCATCATCAATTTCATATTTCTTGTGAAGCTGCGAGACAAATAGTAAAACAATGTCCACATTGCCCTAAATTCTCTTCTGTCCCCCATTATGGGGTAAATCCAAGAGGTATGGTTCCAAGTCATCTTTGGCAAATGGATGTTACTCATGTAATGGAGTTTGGAAAACAAAGTATGTACATGTTGTTGTCGACACTTTTTCAGGATTTATTCTAGCTTTAGCTCAAACAGGAGAAGCTACTAAACATGTTATTACTCACTGTATATATTGTTTCTCCATTTTAGGAACACCTCAAAAAATAAAAACAGATAATGGATATATTAGTAAGGCCTTCAAATGATTTTGCCAACAAATGCATATTGTGCATATTATAGGTATTCCCTATAATCCTCAAGGACAAGGAATAGTTGAACGTGCTCATGGCACATTAAAAGTGCAGCTTCAAAAAATAAAAAAGGGGGAGTTATATCCCTCCTCACCTAGAAATTACTTAAATCATGCTACTTACATTTTAAATTTTTTACAAATTGATAAGAATGGCCACTCTGCAGTGGAAAGGTTTTGGCATCCCCATGGATCACCTTATGCTTTGGTAAAATGGTAACTGGACAATGGTATGGTCCCGACCCTGTTTTGGTATGGGGATGAGGACATGTTTGTGTTTTCTCACAAGAACATGATGGAGCATGTTGGTTACCGGAGAGATTGGTTCATTGTGTGGATCATCCTGACAACTCTACAAATATTTTCCAAATTGATTCTACTCAATTGTATTGGGCATATATGCCTGATCCTCCTGTTGCTCATCCAGTATCATGGGACAGCCCGGAAATCACTATTCTGGTCAATGACACCCGTATGCTGGGACAACCTCATATTGGACATTTGAAAAGACAGACAGAGATGAATTATAGTTATATTGGATATGGTCAAGGTATTCCCATCTGTTCTACCAAAGGATTGGAATGCCCTCCCAGATGTCTTCCAGTAAGTAAACATACATTTCATTCTAGCCAACAAAAAGTATCCCTTCTTTATCCAGAACAAGGATCTAATGGGACTGGTGAACCTCCACAGTCCTTACCTTTATGTGAAGCAGAAACAAGAATGAGTAATACTACAATTTTATGGAAAAGATGTTATGTTACTATACCTCAGGAAAGGCTATTTAATGGAACATCTTGAAAGTTTTTGGACTGGTCATTTGGAAATTCCACAGACCTAAGCTTATCTGCAGGACTTTGGTGGACAGACTCAGGTTTTCCTCAAACCAACATTTGGAAACTTGCTGCTGCATTGGGAGAAATACATTTATGGTCAGATGTCAACGCTACTAGCCTTAGTTTCAATATTTTTGGCATAGGGGCCTCTAATATGCAAAATACCATAAATACTGTGTTATCTCAAGTCAGAGGACAAAAGAAAAAGATAATGTCTTGTGTTAATGCTCCTTATATGTTATTAGTAGGAAATATAGAGATTATTTATGAAACTGATAATGAATATAATATTAGCTGTTTTAATTGTAAATTGACCAATTGTATATTTTCAGAAATGATGACTTCCTCTCATTCTGTGATGGTTTTGAGACAACCTTCCTTTGTAATGATGCCTGTAAAAATTAATGAGTCTTGGTATGAGGATCAAGGTTTGCAAATGCTAATAGAAATAGAAAAAGCCCTCAGTAGACAAAAAAGATTGATAGAATGGGTTATTTTGGGAGTAGTCACACTTATTACCCTTATTGCTATGGCCACAACTGCAGCTGTTGCGCTCTCCCAAGAAATTAAAGAAGCTCAATATGTTAATTCCTTAGCTAAGAATGTAACTCATACCTTTGTAACTCAGGTAGATTTTGATCAGCAGTTAGATCAAAAGATTAACTCTTTATATGATATAGTTAATCTGATGGGAGAAGAAATACAATCTTTAAAAATAAGATAGCAATTATCATGTCATCCAGGGTATCATTGGATTTCTGTAACACAAAAATTATATAATAATTCCCTTCATGATTGGAGCAAAATTCAACGTCATCTTAAAGGCATTTGGTATAGTCAAAATACCTCATTAGATCTAGTCCAGTTACACCAAGATATATTAAATCTACAAAATGCTCCTTCACTGAAGTTTGATATAGCTCAAGCAGCAAAAACTTTTGTGGACCAATTAGGAGCCTTTTTCCCTTCTATTACTTCTGTTATACTGTTAGTTGGACCTATTATAGCTATTGGTATTGGAGTATGATTCAGCTGTGTTATGATACCCATTTTTTTTTCAGAATACTAAGCTTCTCTTTAAAGTATATGACCAGCAAGATACATGGCCTCCAACCACATGTCAAACCTTCACAACCTATAGTATAACCCATGCAGAGGCTGGTAGTCAAAGACTGGTAAGAGAATTGTGGAGAAATATCCAACCTAAGACAGACCATGAGTATTAAATTTCTCATGGCTTGTTGATGGGTAAGGGATTTCTCTGGACATTTCTCACCTAAGACAGGCACAGTTTCTGCTGAGCTGGGAAAGTCCCTGCTATAAATAAAATAAAAAGGGGGAAATGTGGAGGCCAGTCATGGCCCACTGGAGTTTGACATTTGAAAAATGACTTCTTCCTCTACAATTAAGGCATTGACACAATCTATGATCAGGATGCTCTTGTGTTAACATTTGTTCCTTTACAAGGACACTGCTTGTTAAGCTTGACCCTGAGATAAGAGGAAATCAGGAATGTTGTCAGAGTCGCTATTATCTGTAACCAGTAAAGGAAACTGGCCTTTGCATAAGATAAAAAATAATTGCTTGGTGCTCCCTGCTGATGTGCCTTTAAAAGGAGCTGTTTCTATAAAATAAATTAGACTTCTCTTGGTCTCCACTCAGGCTTGTGTTCTTTCTTTTCTCAATCCTCACTCTCCAACTCAGGCTGTTTTGTGTTGTGATGGCTGAACCACCACACTTGAGTCCCTTTTTCCCCATATCTTTTTCCCTTCATCCTTTTCCCCATTCCTGCTACCACCCTGTGATCTTCAGTAAATGTATCTACCTACTACATACTATGAGGTAGAAGCCTGGCAGTTCCTTCCTGGTTGAACACAAGAAACTGAGCTACTTTTGTACCACTGAACTGTAACATCCAGTGAGCTGAGTCAGCAGGACTTTTCCAAACTCTAAACCACAAGCCAAGGGACTTTATTGCACAGTGGCCCAGAAACCTCACCAGTAATCAAAGGCATCAGCAACTCAAAGACCTTTGGAGATCTCAGCAGATGCAGACAACCAGAAACCCAGCCGGCAAGGAAGGTAAGCGTGGGAGGCCCGCTCTCTTTTTTCTGGGTGAAAAAATGGATTCCCAGAAGAAGAGACAGACCACTGGCCATGTGGAAAAGGCTAGAATGTGGGACAAAAGCTTCAATCCTTATGGGGCCATGGGAGTCCTGCCCATCAGTTGGGCCTCCATTCTATTGTCAATCCACACAATGTGGAAAGTGTACCTTGGAGGCTGTGGCAAACACCTCAGCAGGATGGGCTTAAGCCCACCCAGCACAGCAAGGGAAAAGGCCACACAAGACACCAGGACAGAGTCACTTGGTCTGCCCGAACAGTGGCTTTTCTCTTTGAGATTCTTGGTGACTTGTCCTGCCCCTGCCAGCTCTTTGTTTAGTGCCAAGAATATTTATGCTTCCCCATGGGTCCTGGACTCACGCAGAGCGCTTCCTTTCTGTAGGTTTTAGTAATTTCCATTCTCCTTTTCTGGTCTCCTCTCCCTGCAAGGCTTTCATCTTTCTGAGTATTTCATTTGTTTAGTTGGTTCTGGATGACTCAAAAGCAGGGTTAAGAGACACCACATCTTACCTTACCTGAAGAGGAAAGTTGGTCCTTTTAAGCCTCCCACCACTGCTTCCTTTCCTGCCCTTGCGTGGCAGAGCCAGCTGTAGCTTGTTAGAGTAAATCAAGGCATGACCAAGACCACCACAGCAGGCAAAAATGAAGCAACAAGCAAAGTTTTATTTTCAGGCTGGGTGCAGGCTATTTAAGGGTGACAAAGCTGTTGACTCTGGGGCTTAGGCAAGGGAAAACTTTTTAGGGGATTTTGGCTGGGGAAGACATGGTGCCAGCGGTGGAAATTTTTGTCCTAAAGTGGAGGAAGTCTTTTTTTTTTCTGGAGCAGAGGAAATCTGGTGGTCTCCAGCAGTACCTGGTCCTGTGTATGTTGCTACATGGGGCAGGCTGCTTATCTAGAACCCCAGCCTTCACTTCCTGTTATCCTTTGCACCTTGAAGGATATGTAACTGCATTGCTGGGAAGTTTTTCTCTTCTGCCTGGGATGGGGTCTAACATTCTTGTCTTTTTGTTGTAGAAGAAAAAGGAAAGGGGGAGAGGAAATAGGGAAGAGAGAAAGGGAGAAGGGGAAATTGGGCGGAGTGTCTCATAACTTCGGGTAGGACAAATGGGCAGCATGGACAGCCTACATGGAAGAAAAATCTTAGAGGCTGGGAGCATATGGAGGACCAGCCATGGCTATCATCTGTTGATTAATGATTATTTGTATAAGAGAAGGAGAATAATACAAATAAGAGGGCCAGTAAATGTTTGAAGCCATGTTGCCCAGCCCCAAACATCAGTCCATAAATTAGACAGGTGAGGTTCAATTTTTTTCTTTTTTTCTTATGTTTAATTTCTGAGTCTTGTCTGTCAACTTTTTAGCTGCCTCCTGTACTATGCCTTGACTGATTGGAATAAAAAATTCTTCTCCTGGAAAAATGCATAATCTGCCTCTCAGTCAAAAGATCCAAGCCCTGTCAGCTCTGCAAAACTACTGCAGCAAAGGAGTCTATCTGCTTCGGTAAAGTGAGAATGGAATTGGCTATTTGTTTGAGGCTGTCAGAGAGCTCTTGAGAGAGAGCATGGTATTGGGTTAGGGAAGTACTTAAACCTGCTATGCCAGTCCCTGCAGTGGCAGTGATGCCTAGATCAACCAGCAGTAGAATTAAGGGTATGGCTCTACGCGTTTGAACCTGGGCTGTAATGGCAATAGGCAGGCCCTAGTTTCCTGGGGCAATGTCTATATTTGGCCTAAGGTATGTTAGCCTAGTTACTGGTCCAGTTAGTGGGAAGTCAGTGGAAGTAGTTAGTCCAAGTCAGTGGAAGTCCCACAAAGGAAAGTTACACCTTGGCTAGGTAAATAGAATTGGTTGTGGATGTTAAAGAGGTGGGTGACTGTAAGAAACAGGAAAAGAGGAGTTCAATCTCTGGTACCAAAAAGAAACAGGGAAAGGGAATGATACTAGAACCTCTGCAGTAAGTCCTAGTCTCCTGTAAGCCACTGACAGCACAAGATGGATTAATTAATATATAAACAGAAAGAGACTTAGGGAAGAAGCTGAGCTTTGGCCTGACCCATGCTGCTCTGGGTGGCAAAGACCCCAGATCCTGATCTGGCCACACCTTTATTCAGAACATCAGCAGAAACAAAAGTGGCAAGAACAATGAGGAACTATGCAAATGAAGATGTGGTTCCTCCCAGGACATCTCCAGCCTTGTATCCCTGCCCTGGAGCATCACAGCATTGCGGGAGCACTGAGGTCTTAGCTGTGACCAGAGGTGAAAATGGAGTTATGTCTCCGGACATGTCATAGCTGGCCTGTAGACAGGAAAAGTAGGCCCTAATTGTGACTTAATTATGAGATTATTTTCCCCCCAAATCATGTAGAATTGCTCCCGACAGGTGACCATTGTTTTTTCTTTCCCAGAAACCCAAGGTATCTGCCAGAGCAGGACCTGTGGGGCTGGAAGGGGTCTTGGGGGGAAATCTGGTTAGCACCTATTGTCCTGTTTTCACATTGTAGGGAAAAAAAATCTTTCATTGTCTCTTATCACCTATTGTGAGGAATGGTTAAAGGTAGGTAAGAGGAGGCAGTCTGAGTGGGAGGTTTGTATCAGGATGCGTAAAGGGTCTTGCAGGAGAAGTGGTGGCCATTGCAGAACCCTGACTGTTCAATTAACGGAATTGTTGCTATAAATTTGGGAGGGCCAAAAAAAAATGGATAAGCTGAGAGAATAGGGCATCCTGAATAACCTGGTCACTTGTATGGTCATGTGACGCCAATAACAGCAGTGTATAGTTATATTGGCGGGGGAGTAGATACCCTAGTGATACACCAGAGGACAGATTGCACTGAATGTAAATGGGGGTCAGAGTAGTGTCAGTGGTAATAGGGCCATGTATGGGCCTAGATGAGCTTTCATCTCTGTCTCATTTATTATTAACCTTTTATAACAAACTTCAGCTGTTAAAATCTGAGTGGTTTTTTGCTGTTGTTGTTCTCAGATTGTTATATCTTAAAGTTTGACTGGCTACCTATAGAATAGTATTAACCTTGAGTTTTTATCAACAAAATATAAAAGAGCAAGTTAACCCTATAATTGTAAATCAAGAATTTGCAATGCAGAAGAAGGGTTTTAAGCACACCAATTAAACTTAATTTAAATTGAAACAAAGATACATTTATCAAATAGTTAAATTTTCTAACTTGATTTTTCTTGTAAAACACAATTGCAGTTTTTCTGGCTTGCAGTGTTTTTTTGTTTGTTTCTTTGTTTTTTCTTCCTATATTTTGTATTTCAGAGTTTTCCTAACTGATTTTAATCCATTAGAGATTTATTTTTTAATTTTAGTTTTTTCTAATCTGAGTGTAAGCCCTGTTTTATTTTTTTTTAGTCCCCTCATGCTTTTCTATCTGTACCCTCCAGTGGAGTAAAGCTAAACAATTTTGTTTTGCCCTTATCTCCTCCACACCTTTGATTTTAGCAACTCAAGTGGAGGAGGAGAGGCAGTTCGACCTCCTCCAAAGGGGAAACACTGGGATTTGCCTGCACCAATGTCACATTTTTTTTTTTGAGAGGGGCAAATTCACCATGGGAGAAACAACAGATTTGGTAAGCAGTTGTTGTAAGACAAAAACTAAATAGTTTTTGTTAGCAGCTGATTATCCTGGAACAGAAGCTTGAGCAGCTCCTAGAACACACAAGGCTCCAAGTTATCAAAGTCTCAGGTAAGCAAAACAAAGGCAGATAACTTTTTTTTCCCCCCTGGGGGCCAAGTCTAGCTTAGCTGAGACCATGATAACTCACAAAGTTTCTTAAGCATCTTTGGTTGCAGTTTTATCTTATAGTCCCTCACAAAATCTTTATCAAAATTCTGAATTATGCACTTAAGAACAGGTGGTTTAGTATTAGCATTCTCCATGATCATTAGATGTTCCTTTGTGATGCAAGACAAAGGGTGGGGTGTCTCATTTATTCATCAACCTGGCTTTGTGCTTCCCAGCTCTTTCAGGCCTTCTCGGACTAAAGGAGAGTTTCTCATCACAAGAGTCTCCATTTTGTCCTTTCTAAATGTGGTCACAGACTTGCAGGACTGACCCACACAAGCTCTGCAACCCTGGGAGGGCTCTTTAAGTGCAAGCATCCCCTCCCTTTGTTTTGGTGCACAGACAAGGCTACCGATGGCTTTCATAGCTCTTTCCACTCACTCTCATAACCAAGTCTCTTTTACACACACAGTCACACAAGAAGTTAACACATTCCCTCCCTGGGACCCCTTCCAAAGACAAACTAGGGAGCAACCCAAGGGATCTCACCATTCAGACAGAGGATTTCACTCATTTGCCTTCTTTCTGTTCCACTACCAGTGAGCTGGCTTCTGAGGCCTAGAAAGGGAACCCATGAAACCCCAGTGGTGCACCTCTTTCCTTCTGAGGAGGCAGACAGTCTCTCTGTCCAGTGGGACTCAGGTCAAGGCCCAACATGGGCCATGCCAGTTATCCCTTTCCTTCCTGGCCAGTACAGCTGGATACTCTTCGTAAACCTGGACCCAAATATTTATATAAGGAAATTGGTCGGGATGGCTGGGGTACCCGATGACTATTTCCCATACAGCCCAACAGAGGCCTGCCTCAAAGGAGCCCTTGGTTGGCCATTCCAGTTGACACAGGGAGTGAAGCTTTTCATGAGAGAAATTAATCCCATAATCATCCTCCTGCTCAGGGGGAAGAAAATAGAATTAGTGAGAAAGCAATCTAGCAGGGTGTTCTTGGAGCTGGATCCTCCCATCCCTGTTTCAAGGAAAACACATAGTTAACACACAACAGACAAGACACTGACAAGACAAAACAGGTGACACAAAAAACAGCTTTGATTCTACCCAGAGTCCTCATCAGGGCCGGGGTCAGGGGAGGCTTTCTGGCTCATCAGCCACCTCGATCCTGACAACAGACAGTTGCAACCAGTCCAAAGCTTAC